TATATATACAGGGTTACCGGCGTTCGAGACGGGCCGAACGCTCGAACGTACTGGACCCCTTCGAAAGGCGTTCGGCCGTTCGGGCCGAACACAGACAAAAAACAAAAAGAAAAAAAAAAAAATTCCAGAAATTTCGAAAACAACATATGTTATGGAGAAAAATAAAATTAACAACATTTGCCTGGGCACTACATCCAAATTCTTTACCAAGTTTGAATTAAAAATCAAATACAAAAAATAAACACTATGATAAAAAAAATAAAAAATAAAAAGAGAATTAAAATAAGTAAGTGTGCCAGCACCTTTTCGACACCACCATCTTTGCCGATTTTTAATTATTTTTTGGCATTGACAAATGCCCTGAAAATTTATAGATATGTAGTTTACATAATCAATAACTCATTTAAAAGTTTTCAAAAAATAATTAAATTCTTAAGGCCCCGAAATAAAATGAAAACAGAAAGTTAAAAGTGTAAAAAAACAAAATAGTGAGTGGGCGAGCACGTTTTGACACCCCCATCGTTGACGATTTTTTTTTTTTTTTGGCTTAGCAGAATGGCTTCAAACTTTATAGGCGTGTAGGTTACATCATAGAGAACTCACAAAAAAAACATTCAGAAAACAAAACTTATTTTTAGGCTCCGAAAAGTTTTTTGGCGGGGGCCGAACCTGGAGGTGTTCGGCCCCCGAACGCCCGAACGTTCAGGGGCCAGCTCGGGGGCCCCCGAACGTTCGGTCAGGTAACCCCGACGAAACAGTTTGTCACAGCCCCTCGTTTGTTGTCCTCTTTTCTCTCTCTGCCTACGGTTTACCGGGCAGTTCTGTTTGTGACGATATATATATATATATTAAATCGATTTTAGTTTTTGATTTTTTAGAAATCTTAAACAAAGTCGGATTCCAAAAAACAAAATATAGGAGTGTAGGGTTTTTCAAGCCCTACACCCCCATTTTTTTTATTTTATTTTTTTACGTATTTTTAGGGGGGGGTGGGGGGAAATATTGAAAAAACAGGCCGCGGACTGGGCCTCATCGCCCGCGGCCGCGGCCGAGAATCTCGGCCGCAGCGGCCGAAATGCCCGCGGCCTAGGCTGCCGGTGTCACATAGCAGTGGGGTAATGTGGTTTTCTTGATGTTGGCTCCCGAATAATCTTAGTGGATTCTCACTCATTTTTTAAGCAAAGTCTGTGAATCTCGGTTATTCCCGGTGGTTTTAAGATTGCTCAGGGATTCTTGGGGCTCCTAGCAACTGACTGTAGGTTGTTCTGATGTTATCATGTTCATGGACAGAACGACGTTGGACGGTGCTGGGGTGTTGCCCTGTGACGCGCCAGCTTCCGGACCTGCGCCATCTTCCAAACCTCCCCCCCCCCCCCCCCCCCCTTCTCTTTTCTGAATTTTGGTGTTGAACTTCTTGCAAACAGGCCGACATGGCCTTTTTTCGTATTTCCATGAATTAATATACATTGTTCGTAATCAGGGAGGCCCGTCCTTCTCAGGACCTTCGCCATTTTTGGATCGGTTTTTGATAATTTCATCTTTTGTAATTCGGAAATGCATGGGAATTACGCGCGCCTTAGCGAGCGCGCTAGGAATTTGGGTCGACAATTAGGAATTCCTGAATGAGCGGAACCTGACGTGTCCTTTCTTGTGCATGAATGTTCTCGACTTCGTCTTCGAAAACTCTGGGAATTTTCGTAGGAATACGACTTTTTCCCTCGCTCGCTCTACGCATGGACATGGTACTTGTCAATTTTGAATTAGTTGTAACTATTTCGGTGCCCTTTTTCGCCTTTGCGTCAGCGCCATGCATGCAAACCTCCCCTCCCCGCTTTTTCTTTTCCCTTCAGGTAGACCGTCGGCACCCGTGCCACTTCCGAAATTCCCACTGCAGGTACCCTCATGCAGAAGACTCGGGAAATAGCGGCGGGCAGTGGGAAGGTAGCTTTGGGATTTTAAGTGCTGGTGCACTGGTGGTTTAAGATGCTTTCCCCATCTCATTTGTAAAACCCGCTTGCAAGGCCTCTCTATCCCTGCGGTGGTAAGAGAACCGCCAGGATTGAGGCTTTGGGCGTTGGGTTGCTCCATCTATTGGTGGGGAGCCGCACCTGCTGGAAACCGGGGTCCAGCGTCCCTTAGAAACAACAATTGGATACATTAACAGGGCTGTGGCCATCTATGCTTCTACTGTAGAGCACCCTCTATCTATCATATAATAGGTCCGTGCCAGCATATCACTTCACGTTGCCATCACATTGTCCTACCTCTCCTTTTCATCTGTTCTAGCAACAACGCAGGGCAGGGCGGCCGTTTCATTGGAAGAGTGGAGAGCCAGTTGGGAGAGGAGGGAGATGGGAGATATCCTGGGAGAGGAGCCAGTTGGAATTACAGCCTAGGTTATATATACATTGGATGGCACATGGCTCTTCAGAACTGCAGCTTGACACTGCTATCCATTTCCTCCATCATCCAACTTCCAAGTTGAAGGGTTTACTTGGCCTAGAATGTCTGTGGAGAAAATTCTCTCCTCCAGAAAAAAAAAAAAAAAAAAAAAAAAAAAAAAAACGGCTTGCTGTCTGCTGGCGGGAAAACACCCACAAACATTGGTGTCGGAGACTGAAAGATCTTATTAGAGTTAGGACGGCGCTATTATTAGAGGTAAATTTGACAACCCGCCAGCCAGGTGGTCAAATTTACCTCTACCTATGTTTTAGTCGTGGCAGGGAAAGGCGCTTACAGAAGCCTTAGGGTGCCTGTATTAATGAGAGGGCCCAGCATATTTGCATGAAGGGGATGCTGGGCCTGCTCACCAGCAGGTGCCACTCTCCCAACCAGTAGAGGTCCGCGAGAAGCAGGTGCTACGCCCCACCCCACCAATAGCTGGAGCCTCAGAAAGCAGCAAGGACAGACCTATAGTAGACACGGAGTGGGGGCTTCCTTTCCGTTCTTCTTTTTTCTTTTTTCTTTTTTTTCTTTTTTTGGAGGGATTCGTCGAAGCTGTAGGTTTCTCACAATCACACTGCGTTCGTCAAAAAGAAAAAGAAAAAAGGAGAAAAAAATGCTCAGACAAGGTCTTTCTTCGCTGTAGTGTGCAACAAAGGGTGTTGTAGAGGCCAAGGACCAGACCCGCGGTGATTGCTTGGCCGCTGTACTACGCAACAGAATTAATTCAGTCCACACCCAGTCTGTTCTTCAGTGTGAATCTGAGCCCTACCGGTAGCTATGCCCCCCCCTTCGATCAGCATCAAGGGAGCAATACTTCTACATCACTCATTCGTTCACTGTGGCTATATTTCTAACTGAAATTTGAAACAACGCCGGACGCGGCAAGTTTTTTTCCTTTTTTTTTTGACCATTTCTCGATTAATGCGTGTCATCCTATCGCAGGGGCCGTGCTAATCAATCTTTTCTTTCTCTCTGTATCGTTCCAATCCTTTCCTTTTAACGGATGTCCCGCTGAAGGACGACGCGGCAAGTTTTTTTTTTTTTTTTTTTTTTGGGAAAAAAAGAGGAGTCCATTATCATGAAATTATCCATGAGGCCGGGAATCCTCACAAACAACCCGGAATGAGTCTCTGTAAAACAAATCTGGGACCATTACCCAGAATTGGTATGTGGGCCTTACCCCAACAACACTTGGCAAAACAAAAAAAATCTGGTAGCCTTTGGCAAACCAGAGAACAAACCAAACTAGGCTTCAAACAAAAAAAGAGAGAAAACATAAACAAACACTCACGCGGCAAGTTTCGAGTTCGTAAAGGCGGGAAAAAACAAAAAAACAAAAAAAAAAAACACGCCGGCAAAGAAATCACGCGCCAACGTCGAAAAGGCAATTTCCGTCGAAAAGTATCTCCTCCCTTGGCCTTTCCTCCCCCCCCCCTTCCCTTCCCCCTCTGACACCACTGTCGACCCCTGTAAAATGTGACACCACTGCCGACCCCTGTAAAATATGACACCACCGCCAAACCCGGTACTTGTACTTTCATTGCCCGTTTTTGAACTCGCGCGCCCCTGGTCTCTTTGCCGACGCTTTTTTTCTTTTCTTTTCTTTTTTTTCCCCGTATGAAACTCTGATGTGACATGAAAGTACTTCCCTCTTTATAATTTGACACTGGCTGTTCCCGTTTTCACAGTGTCTGCTGCAAGCATCCATCCTCTGCACCGACAGTGATTTCCTTCCCCTCTTTACATTAAACAAATATCACAAGACATATACAAAAGACTTACAGAACTGTCGACGGATGTCATCTTCACGGACCTAGCGAGGACAACGACCGGTCGGTCGTCTTGCTGTCTGTCCTAGCCAAAAATTGATGGTGTATTTCACATCCCCACTGTGATTCACATGTGATCTGATGGGCACCAATTAGAAAGATTCGGTTCCAGCTACCGAGTCCTGCGCTAAGTAAATTAATAAAAATAATTAAAAAATTACTATAAACTATACAGGTGCCATGTCGGACGATAATCAATTCCTTATGGCTCTATCAACCTAAATAATTAAAAGAGCGGAAAAAAAAAGAAATGAAATATCTTAATCTTACCCCCACACACGGATATGAACAGACCCATGTACCTGTAAGTGAACAGTGCATGGGTTCAATTCCGGATGGAATCTGATTCAGATGACCAAAAAAAAAAAAAAAAAGTAAAAGAAGAAACCCTCCGAGCCGCTTCATCCCTCCTAGCATTGACAATACAATATAGACACCTCCCTTTCTTTTTTTTTCTTTTTTTCTTTTTTATCAAACCATGGTGCTCCATCTATTGGTGGGTGGGGAGCGACACCTCCCTCCATTACTCCAACCCTGTTCTAATGATATCACCCATGATATCACCCATGATATCACCCATGATATCACCCAACTGCAAAACGCCAACTCATGGTACACATCTCCTGCCACTGCTACTTTGCTCATACTACACTCCCTTATGTGAATCTGCCGGTGCATGTTTCTTTTCTACCAACCCATTGCGCTTCCGCTGTATCCCCTTACTAGCTCCTTCGCTGCTGCAGCTACTAGTATTTCTACTGCTGCTCCTGCCATGCTGCCGAAGATAATGATGACAATAGCCATGAGGATAATGACGATGATAATGAGGACGATGATGATGATGATGATGATGACGATGATGATGATGAGCTCGTGATGGCAGTGGCGAACATGGATTGGCATTAGCGTCTTCCCCAGAACACAACGCACCCTCATCTTGGCTGTACCGGACCGGAAATATAGCTTGCATACGTTCAATTTCAGGGTGCGTTATGTTCGGCGGAAGACGGTAGTGTTTGTCCTATCTATGTTGTACAGTGTTTACACCAGAGTGCTGCAAGCACTCACATTGCAGCGAGACAGTGTTCCACGTGTCCGTAATCAGCTTGTGGACTCCTCCGCACAAACTCGGAGAAACAAGAGATGTCCTAACCAGTGATCATATCGATTGCTGGGGCTTTGATGCCACTGGAGCTGGAACCTTACCTCCTCATCCTAAAGCGCTGGCTCCTCCTGCTTCTCTCTTACTGGTCTACTTCTGCCGCTGCTGCTGACGATGACGATCATGATGACGATGACGACGATGATGATGATGATGATGATCATCATCATCATCATCATCATCATCATCATCATCATCACCACCATGAAAAATTTCTACCTGGTGCGTACCTCAAGTGTGCAGGTCTGTCATGGTAATGGGACCTTGCCCACGGCAATGGAGATCTGATAATACTTTGGCTTTCCACTCCCCATATCCAATACATAGAGAGCTGCATATGTGTGCTGTGAGGAGCAACCTGGCCAGCGATAAATCCATGCCCCCTCCTTCGTATCGAACCTCACTGCCGTCGGCGGATTTCCAGCGAATTGTGGCTTCTTAAGTGGGGTGTTGATCCTGACCCCCTTGAAGGTGGTGGTGTTGCCATGTCTAGGAAGCATGACAATGCTGCGGCCAGACCCCTTGTCGGTGCGCAGGAAGAAGACGTACCCCTGTTTAAGCTGCTCGCGTTTGGCTGCCGGTGCGGCCGGAAAGCCCCTGTGGAAGTTGAGGTATGCTTTGAGCTTATGCTTCCCACCGTTGCACCGTGGTTCTTCTAACACGAATGCACTGGCAAGTCGTGCCTGCATGTCGCACAGCTGCAGATCGTACTTGTCTGCGCGCTGGCAGTCGGCGACAGTGGGGTGCTGGTTCCCGATGCAGTTGTCACACTGGTCTGTCGCGCTGACCACCACTGTGCTCCTGACAGGCTGCCGAACGACGGATTCGATCCATGACACGGCATTACTGACACGCGCATACACATCTGGATTGTTCTCCTCCGCGCATCCACTTCCCAGTCCCAGTCCAAGTCCCAGTCTCTCCCAGTTGCCAAGGCCCACTTGCACGGGACATCCCCCTCGTGATGACTTGGCAGTCAGAGGCCCGCCGCTGCACACGCAAAACAGAGATTTTAATTTACTGAATTAGAAGCAGGCATCGACATTTTTTACTTAGTATTTTCCAAGATTCGTGCCAAAACAAAATAGGCTCTTACAAGCAGGTATCCCCCATTTTCCACTTATATTCCAAGATTAGTGCCAAAATAGGCACTTTGTTCAATGCACCTTCTTCAGTCTAGTTAACCTATGCGGGGAACCTGTTGATTGGATTTGATTGGACCAATCAAGACTCAAAGATGGATCCATAGAGAGAGCCAACAACCAGCAGGCAGGTATAGGGGAAGAGTAGCGGGAGAAGGAGGGCGAGCCGTTAGGGCGTCTGAGAGCACAAGAAACTAACGAAGGAAGGAAGGAAGGAAGGAAGGAAGGAAGGAAGGAAGGAAGGAAGGAGCCAAGAAAGGAATGAAAGAAGCGAGGGAGAGAGGAGGGAAGAAAGCAACGGAAAGGAAAGGAGTGAGGGAGAGAGGGAGGAAGGAGGGAAATCGTGTGATAGGGAATGAGGTGGTGATGGTTGGAGATGATTACTAATAACATCACAACACGGAGGCGTAGGGTACAGAAAACAACAACAACAACAACAACAACAACAACAGCAACAACAACAACAACAACAACAAGCTTCCGAGAACTTCCATCGGCCTAAAAATTTAGTCCTCTCCTTTTCCTCCGTTTCGTTTTTCGTTCATGGTTGTCGTTTTTGCTCCTCGAGTACTACTAGTACCAGTTAGCTTCTTCAAAAGCCCGATTTCAACAACGCACCTGTCCTTTGTGCATCCTCCGGTGCCTCCTGCCTGACATCCAGCACAGATCATCTCCGCCTTATCGAACCACACTTTTTGATACGTCCCATAGTAGCCGCGATTGCTATATTTGATGGCACATATATTGGGCAGGTGATCGACGGTCACCGATTTCAACTTGTTCGGATACGGTCCGCCTGTGAGTACACTTCCCCATCCGCTCACAGTCAGGTCGTCTCCAATCTCCAGCAGAGAGTCGTCAGGAGAAAGGGAGATCGAGCGCACGTTGTCGGAGAAAGGCAGAGGCTTGACCAACTTCAGGATCGCGTAGTTGTTGCTGACTCGGACTCGCTGATACGTCTCATTGCGGATATACCCTTTGTGAATCCAGACCTCAGAGGCCCTCACCCTCTTGGACTCATCCTTGTCAGCGCTCCCATAGCCGATGTCGTAGTAATCCGCGTCAGCATCGGGATCTGTGGTCAGGTTGCGATGATGGCGTGGGTTTTCCCTGGAGCGCGGGGGAAGCGGAGACGGTACCGAAGATGGGATAAAAGAGAACGTGGGGGTGCTGATGCTTCCCTGATCAACGCAGTGAGCTAGACACAGAGGCAACCAATCAACACCAAAACATCGTCATTGATTAGCAAGCATCATCACGGTCGAACATCATCATTCATTATCCCATCATCACCACAACCATCACAACCATAGATTCATCAATCATCAATCAGAACCATACGATTCATCAATCATCATCCCCAACATACGCTTCATCAATCACAATCATCCGATTCATCAATCATCATCCCAACCATACGATTCGTCAATCACCATCACCACCATACGATTCATCAATCATCATCATCGTCATCATCATCATCATAACCATACGATTCATCAATCATCATTATCATCATCATCATCATCATCATCATCATCATCATCATCATCATCATCATCATCTGCCACCATCAATATCATCGCAACCACTATCATCATCATCACAACCACACGATTCATCATCATCCTTCATTGACCATTCCTCATCAAGACCATCTCATTCAACGTCAATTATCATCATCATCAAGCATCAAACATCAAGCAACCAGCAACCAGCAATGATGAAGCAAGGATCGTCCTGCATCATGCCTCATCACCCCCAACACACACACTGTGAAATGTCTGGACGAACGTATTTCTTTTTTTTTTTTTTTTTTTTTGGACGAACGTAATTCGGTTCAAAGTCCAATCCACTCCGTCCTGCATCATGCCTTCATTCACTCGTTTTGGGAACCGAAATCATCGTCAGGTCCTTCTGGCGGGGGGGAATCTGGTAAGGACTGAGCCATAAAGCCCGCCAAGAAAAAGTATCAGACGGTGGGCAGCTGACGGATCTGAGCACTTCACTGGAAACAGATTCTGCATTTTAGCCTCGTCCTCGACAGACTGTTTTTCTTTATCTTTTTTTTTTTGTCGCCGACAGTCTCACTTCAGTTTTTGGCGACCATTTTGTAAAGGTGTTCAGCACAGAAACAACAGATAGACAAAGACTCGGAGGAAAACGAGAAAAAACGAAACAACAACGGACATTAAAAAAAAAAAAAAAAAAAAAAAAAACA